ATGTGTACCAGACTACCAGTCTTGTCTCTCTGCTGTCAAAGTGGAAAGTCGTAGTTACCAAGGAGCTACATAATTTATAACAACGATGTGGTGTTTCCTTATAACAATTATAACATAATTTATAACAACGATGTGAGCCCCCGGCAACGAAGCATAAACAGTCATCCGACGAGAGGAAGGAAAAACAGAGGGATTATGATTATTGACATTGATAATGACTAATAAACATAAGGAAGAACATGATATGCTGTTTTATTACTGTAATTTGCTCCAAAATTGGCGGGCCTACAGTTTTGCTGGCGGGCCTGCAGCTTTTAGAAGCTATAGGCCCTGCAGGCCTACAGCTTTTTCTGCTCAGTGGCAAACACTGCTTGCCACCAGTACTGAGATGAATTTATTTAAACTCTGCGTGTCTTGCAATAGTTAAGGACAACTTACGGGAATACCAAGATGTTCAGTGTCCAAATCCATCAGCTTCATTTCAAAGTCTGAAACCTTTTCCTGATCTGAAGACAAAATAGTAAACAGTTTAGCAACATTTTAGCACAAATAATATTACTTGCGCAATGACGCACACTAATTTAATTTATAATTACATGACCTAAATCACTTTCAGGGGTAGAAATTAGTTTGAAAATTTACAGGCCAGCCGGGCCTGTAGGTAAGGAATTTTCTACTGGGCCCGTCAGGCCTGCTAGTATTAGAAATTTCAGACCCGAGCCTTAAAATACGGGCATCGGGCCCGCGGGCCCCTCAAGCTTTCGACTCATGACTTTCCACGAATGCAAAGCACCGATTGGGTCACGTTACAGTTAACCTTATGCTAATAAAACCAGCACAAACTCTGGTGGTGGGACTTTGACATCACACGGGACACACAAAACTTACTCGGAGATTCAAACATAAACGTGACGGTGTCAGGGTTGTTGTCATCCGCCTTGATCGTAACTACATCGTCATTACTCGAGCACTTGATGATCTTTGTCATACTGCGACAGAATGTTTGTACATCAACGCAAAAACCACGACATAATACCATACTAGCTATCACCTATTATACTGTATCTGCATTATGACATAACACACAAGCCGTAATGGCTCAAGGATAGAGAGCATGTCCAGTAATTAACATCCTATCCTATCACCGTCCTGAACATCATCTCTATCCTTAAACCACCCGTAATTCCAAATATTTCAGCAATATAGTTTCACATCGTTACATATGAGTCCCGTTGTTGCATTACAACTATTTGTAGCACTGTATAGTCCCTCGGTCTGTAAAGAATCATCATGACGAGATTTCCACCATATCGTACGACAGAACGTGTGGCAATTAAAAGCGCTGTTAATTAATTAATGACGGCTCTACCTAGTCAGGTTGATTCCCATCGAAAGGTTTCGATCGCATCTGTAGGCGTCAAATCCATCACTCCTCAGCATGAGAGACACGAGGGACACGTGGGAACTATCCATGGCTTGTAAGCTCATGCCTACATCACAAGTTCATACGTAATTAATGGCAAGTATAAACAAACAACATTCAACAATGCAATAGCACGTTATCATGTGGCATATTATTTTATACTAGGCTGCCCACATATGAAGTACCGGACTTCTAAGTGATTACCAGTTATAAAAGGAATGATTCAGCTAACAGTAACACTAACAGTAACCGCAATCAACTCGGGTATTCGTCAAGACAATGGTCTAACGTTAATCATTTTGCTTAAATATAGATACACGCACAAATGTGTTTTCAACTAGTTTACACCAAGGCTAAACGCAAACGTTTATATTACAGTTTACAGAATCTTACTGTACTAACAGTAACAGTATACCTGTGCTACTGCAATCGAATGTTGCCTCTGTAAGAAGGTCCTTTGTCGCCTCCAAAATCTTCTTTAGAAGTGAACCTTGTACAAGTCTTGCTTCAAACATTTTTGCAGGTTTGTGGAAAAACTAACAATTCGAGTCCACACAGTAGAGGTTACTTTACGTAGTATTAAACTTTGTACGCTAAAAAGCCAACGAAAATACAAAGGATTGCTGACGATTGAAGAATCGACGTAGAACTACACTCACTGAGGGAGAGAATGATAATTTCGCGCCACTTGGTCAATTTCGCGCCTTTTGCTGTACTTGGTTTTCATTGGTTTATTTTGGTGACCTCGCTCTTTAACCCGGAACCTCAGCCCGGAACAACTATTGCTGGCGGAGCGGTGCGCGGAAAACGTGATTTTTTTCTTAGGATAATCAAGAACATAGCTAAACATATAAAAAACATATAAATATATAGGGCTCTAACATAGCTAATATATAAGCTGAATATATAGGGCTCTAGTGAGCGCTGCCATTGGTTGAGCTTGTTTCGTCGCTCAATGACGTCACTGTCATATATTCATAGCACATCCGTAATCCATAATCCAATAATCCAATAATCCTGAATAGCCGAACGCGTAGAGGACAAACGTCACGGTTGAAAGGTCGCTGGAACGAATCCGATGTGATTTTTAATTATTTTCCTGTTTTCAGCATTTTTCTATCTTTATCCATTTAACTATTTTTTCCAATTAACGCAAATATTTACATGATTTATTTACAACAATTTAATAACAACAAATAATTTTTACAATTAAAAATTTAATTTTTTTTTTTTAAATAGGGTTAGGGTTAGGGTCACAACCGCACTCGGCAGTTAGATGCGATATTGTATGACTACTAGGCACTTTAATTTAATTTAATTTTTTTTAAATAAAAAAAAGTTAGGGTTAGGGTTAGGTTAGGGTTAGGGTTTAGGTTAGGTTAGGGTTAGGGTAGGGTTTTTTTTTTTTTTTAAGTGCCTAGTAGTCATATCCTAAGTGCCTAGTAGTCATACAATATCGCATCTAACTGCCGGGTGCGTCACAACCATGGTCACAACCATAGAAATAGATAGATAACCTAGATAGATAGGTTATCTATCTATTTCTATGGTCACAACGCACCATAAAACAGGAGTTTGAGGCACGTGATTTGTATCAACCAATGGCAGCGCTCACTAGAGCCCTATGTCCTTGATTATCCTTCTTGATCTATGATTATCCTAGGAAAAAAATATGATTATCCTAGGGAAAAAAATCACGCGTCCGGAAATGTACCAAAAATATCCGAAGATCACGTGTTGCTGAAATGTATATAGTCTATATAATATACATTCATATAAATTATAATTATATACTGTTATACAGGGGTGTAGAAAGCGGGCGGGGAGATGGGGGATATATCCCCCACTTATGCTGAGAGGGTCTATATGTCCCCCAGGGTGCTGCCGGAAGTTTCAAAATCCCCAAATCACGTCTTATCACTGCTCACGAAAGTGAAACCCCTGCTTTATTCAAAATTAGAATAGATCTATTGATAGCTGGGATATTGAATTTTCACGGGAATTGAATGAGGAAAATTCAATTTCATCACACTTTCTTTTTTTGTAGGAGGCCGGGATGGGGGTGCTGAGACCCGACCGGAAGTATATTCCCGATTTTGTATAAGGGGTGAATATGTGCACTTTTTGGTTCAAATCTGGTTGTTTTTCTCATACTTTTTTGTACACTTTTAGCGTTCTCAGCAAAATGTTTTATCAAAATTTCATGGGGAGATGATTCCAGTGATGTAGTTGTAAGAGGGTGTTGCGTGTTACTAAACCTCTGGGAGCCAAAGAAAAAAATAACCCTAGAATTCACAATTATTGCACTTACAATTTAATTTTTTTTTCAATTTCCTCATAAAAACGGCCATCTTGAAGGTTCTAAATTGCTAAAATCCAAGAGCTTCGGGGGGCTCCACCCCCTGGACCCCAGGCAAGGGCTCTGCCGCTGCACCCTGTCAGGGGCTCTCTGGTGGGTCCCTGGACCCCACCCATTAAAGGTGTCTCGTATAATGAACAACAAACTACAATTAAAATACAAAATAAATTACAAATATAAAACGTCGACTTTCTGCAACGCGCAATAATATTAGGAACTTTGTTCTTAAAGTTTTAACAGTGTTTTTAACCCTGTAAGTGTTGTAAAATCCTAATTACTGATTTCATTTCATTTAACGTAACAGCTGGATATAATAACTGCGTCAATGCATGCAAGAGGTAAAATTATTACAAATTTTAAAGGTAATTTACAAGACTTAAAGGTAAAGCAGACAGTATTTCTTGTAAACACCAAATAAAACTTCAGACGAAACTCGGAATGTTTTACAAGATCATCATTTTATTAAATATTTCATAATGGAATATACAGTAATTAAACTTGACAAAACAAATAATAGTCCCAACAGTATTTTACAGTGTGCAAAGTTTCATCACCATCTAGTGGGTGTAGAAACGAGGTATATGATCGTACTTCAAGCAGTTTTCAGTAGCAGTTCAACTAAAGGTTTCTCGTATAATGAACAACAGACTACAAAATACAAAATAAATTACAAATATAAAACGACGACTTTATGCAACACCCGATTGATGAGACAAATGGTGGAAAAATCCGTACAAAACCAATGTTCGCTTATCTGTGGTCGCACCACTGTACACTTCACCGCAACACTAGACGAAACGAGAAGGCAAGATCGCGCGATCACACGTGAAGATTATCGAGCGCTCACATCAATAACAATAATGACGTTGGCCACGCCGAATCACATTCTGTATTCACTGTCAAGAGATTGGAGCAGTGTTTGTGACACACAGGCAATACTCAACTAATACAGACACAAGCTAGCAAGCGCCCTTGTACGTGTATATATATCTCTCTGTGGACGCCCCTCCCTCCACGACCAACTCTCGCTCGTTCCCTTCAGATATATATATATAAATATAAACATTCGCTATATCACAATAGATGCTTATAGACCCTGGAGGAAGCTTACTGACTATTTAGCTGGACCCTGTTTAATCTTCTTGCTTCTCGCAGATGGTTGTAATCCTCTGGAACCCTTTGGCGATTTTCTCCGGGGCAAGTCTGTCAGAATAAACAGGAATTTTTTAACATAGACACACGAAAACTACTGTTTCTCTATTGTATTTCTCTTATTCTGGATATATTTTACGCCCGCGCAGACACATTCGTTACTTCAAGCTTGTCAAAAATAAAAAATCATACTTCCAATATATTTCTGATACTCAAACTACTAAGCTTGTATAGTTCTTGTTGAATAAGCTTGTATAGTTCTTGTTGTATAATCTTGTATAGTTCTTGTTGTATAAGCTTGTATAGTTCTTGTTGTATAATCTTGTATAGTTCTTGTTGTATAATCTTGTATAGTTCTTGTTGTATAATCTTGTATAGTTCAATGTTGTATAATCTTGTTGTATAATCCTACATAGTTAAATTTATCCAATATCTTCCACGTTTTTATTCCGTAACCATAGTTACAAAGCAGGAATTTCACCACACCCACAGACGTGTTGCTCACCGTGTTCAGTGGGCACCTGGGGGCGCCGGTGTTGCTGCGTGTCACGCGCGCCCGCCGGTACGATCCACTGAGTGAGCGTGGACGAGTGAAAGTTGTGTCCATGGATGCCCGCCACAGGGTTTTCTGGATTACGCAGATGGGTAAAAAATATGAAAATGACTATGTGAGACGTTATGGCATTCTCTCCATCTCCTGCTCGCCCTACGATCAATTCTCCTATTTTATTACTCAACCTACTTAAATTGAGATTAAATTGTTAATATTATTATTATTATTATTAATATTATTATTGTCATTATTAG